TTATCAGAACTACTGCACTGGGCCTGCATGCTGAGGGGACTTGCAGCAAGGTGGGAGGAAGCCAGAGACATGGAGCTGCGCAGGAGGTGAAGGCAGAGAGGAGGGTGTGCAGAATGAGATAACCAGCCCCTAACTCCCAACAACCTCAACCTGCAAACCTCAGCCAGCAGAAGCCACCAAAATGTAGGAAACAGGAGGGTGGCTAAAAATGTGCATATTTTGACCTGCATGTGTGTATCTGTGTGTCATTGTGTTTTATATGAGTGTCTGTGTATCTATTTGTCTGTCAGTGTAGGTATCTGTACTTGTGTCAGTGTTTGTATATGTGTGTCTCTGTATCAGTATGTGTGTTAGAGTTTGTATCTGTGTGTGTGTATTTGAGTGTATCTGTATGTGTGTCACTGTGTGTATGTGTGTCTGTGTATCTGCAGGTGTGTACCTTTGTGGCTGAGTATCTGTATGTGTGTCAGTGTTTTTGTATTTGTATGCCTCTGTATCAGTATGTGTGTCAGAGTTTGTATCTGTCTGTGTTTCTCTGTATTTGCATCTGTGAATCTGTGTGTCTGTGTAGTTGCATGTGTGTCTGTTTGTCTGTGTATCTGCATGTATCTACCCGTGTGTCTGTATGTCTGTATATGTGTCAGTGTTTGTATCTGCATGTTTGTCAGTGTTTATGTCTGTGTATCTGCATGTATGTACCTGTGTGTCTGTGTATCTGTATATATGTCAGTGTCTGTATCTACATGTGTGTCAGTGTGTGTATTTGTGTGTCTGTGTATCTGTATATATGTCAGTGTCTGTACCTGCGTTTGTGTGTCTGTGTATCTGTATATATGCCAGTGTCTGTACCTGCGTTTGTGTGTCTGTGTATCTGTATATATGTCAGTGTCTGTACCTGCGTTTGTGTGTCTGTGTATCTGTATATATGTCAGTGTCTGTACCTGCGTTTGTGTGTCTGTGTATCTGTATATATGTCAGTGTCTGTACCTGCGTTTGTGTGTCTGTGTATCTGCATGTGTGTCAGTGTTTGTATCTGTGTGTCTGTGTATCTGCATGTGTATCAGTGTGTGTATCTGTCTGTGTGTATCTGTGTGTTTATGTATCTGCATGTGTGTATCTGGGTATCTACATGTGTGTCAGTGTGTGTATATGTTTGTGTATGGTTATTTGTGCATACATCTCACCAACCCTTAAAGCTAAAGTGCTTTAGGAGTCCTGAGTGTGGATGTTTATTATTTTGTAGCATAGTACCTAAATTAAATTAACATAAAAGAAAACAGGTTTAAACGTCCAATTAAAAGAATCATAGTGGATCACTGATTAGTTGGGGGGGTGGGGGGAGGGGATTACTGGAAAGCAGAAAAAGAACTGAAATAAGAATCATACCATAACAAGGAGCTAATTCTTTCATCAATCCCATAATGAATAAATTATGCAGCTTCGCTAAATATAAATGTTGATTTATGCAGAGAACATTAAATTGTGACCCACCAGCCTTTGGCATTATATGATCCCTTATAATAAGTGTGAGAGCAAGTCTGATTACAGAAATAAGCAAAACACAAAATTCTGCATAATATGTGTCATACGCTGTTTTTCAGCTATGATGTGTGACATCTTTACGACTTGGGCATTTAGCATCATGTTTCTAAAGTGATTGTGTCAATATTTATTTGCAGGGGGTGAATCATGCATTAGTAACATTTTATCCTTCCAAAACTCACATATTATTAAAAAAGTATGGTTATGCAATAAAACAGTATGCTGTAAGCTTAATAAATTGACGTGACTCTTTGTGATATAACAGTTTATACTCAATAAGATTCCTGGATAATCACAGCATATCATATCTGTCTGCCTCATCTCAGCTAATAATTGCAGATTTAGCTAACCTTTTTCCATACAGGTCAATGGTCATGGGCGAGTTTTCATGTACAGAGTCGCTCTATAGAAATGCTTCTGATTAGAATAAGATAGACTTCTGTTTGGAAACATACACTTAGTGAGAATATGCAAATGTTTTCCTTCTGCAGTTGTTTGTTAAGAAAACACTAGGAAAAAAAATTAAAACATATATTCATCACCGTGCATGCACTCTCTCTCATTAACCTTTGCCATTAATAAACCATTCTCAAGCCAACCATTGGGTAAGTTGGAGTCAACCTTGAACAAGTATAATGTTAAAGGGACACTTGTGACCCTTAAAGTATTTTAGCTTGCTTAAATTCTTTATATATTAAGAGTGTGTCCCCTTATTTATTTTTTTATAAAAAGTGCAGATTTCAATAGAAATAGCCGGTTTTACAAAAATATTTTTAAAAAGTGTATATATGATTTTGCTTAACTATAGTGTTAGCTTTAAACCATAACTGTTTGCATGACAGTGGCAGGGCATCATGTTGTTAAAGGAACACTATAGTCACCTAAATTACTTTAGCTAAATAAAACAGTTTTAGTGTATAGATCATTCCCCTGCAATTTCACTGCTCAATTCACTGTCATTTAGGAGTTAAATCACTTTGTTTCTGTTTATGCAGCCCTAGCCACACCTCCCCTGGCTATGATTGACAGAGCCTGCATGGAAAAAAAAACTGGTTTCACTTTCAAACAGATGTAATTTACCTTAAATAATTGTATCTCAATCTCTAAATTGAACTTTAATCACATACAGGAGGCTCTTGCAGGGTCTAGCAAGCTATTAACATAGCAGGGGATAAGAAAATCTTAATTAAACAGAACTTGCAATAAAGAAAGCCTAAATAGGGCTCTCTTTACAGGAAGTGTTTATGGAAGGCTGTGCAAGTCACATGCAGGGAGGTGTGACTAGGGTTCATAAACAAAGGGATTTAACTCCTAAATGGTGGAGGACTGAGCAGTAAGGCTGCAGGGGCATGTTCTATACACCAAAACTGCTTCATTAAGCTAAAGTTGTTCAGGTGACTATAGTGTCCCTTTAATGTATATTCACCATCCGTTTCCTAATGTTTATGGTCCAAAATGAACCCCCAACTCCACTCAGCACTTAAATAAACACACCCAGGCATTCAAGCAGAAACCTGATCTTGTTACATCCTGGTTGTTTAACTCAGTGGACCTAACCTCAAGCAGCAGGTAATAACCCAGAGCACTTCTCTTGCAAAGACTTCTCATTGAGCTGCATTGGGAAGTCTGTAATTGGACAGCCACAGAAAGTCTGGGCAGGTTAGAAGGGGAGGGCTTGCAAAGGCAACAGACGAGATCTGAAGCTTTTGCAAGCTGTTTATAGATGGGCTCTATTTGTAGCATTTTATGAATAAATGAATGTATTTTAAAAAGGAAATGCAATCACAAATAAAGAGCTATTAACAGCGTGTAGCAATATTTTCCTTGCATTGGAACTGGTAAAAGTATATACCTGCAGGGCGGGTAACGTGAGTAGGTGTGATCCCAACCCTAGAGTGATGGAATATCTCATAAGCACACAGTGAAAATACCAATAGTGTTTTATTTTTATACAAGGTATTCTATGTGGTAGAAAGTCAAAGACACACTTACAAACATGGAACCTCACATTTAGTTCTAAGGAACCAGCATAAAGCTGTGCAATCCCCAATCTGGGATATAAGTGTTAGAACTCCTTCCAAAATTGTCAATGAAATATAGAATAAAAGTACAGAAGAGAAGACATATAATGTTCTCTGCTTATAACAATGCATAAAGTAAAATGAAAATCTACTTACATTTTTGGGAGCTTTAATTTGCTCTGTGGTATCAGCATGGATGGATGAATGAAAATAGATCCAAAGGATAAGATGCGGACAACAAAATTATGTATGCCTAGAAGGTAGATAAATCCACAAGAAAGAGCAATGGTTAACATTAGTAATTTATTCAGTGTTAGAGAGTATTAAGTATTAAGATAGTGGATGCATGGAATAGCCGTCCAGCTGAAGTGGTAGAGGTTAACACAGTAAAGGAGTTTAAGCATGCGTGGGATAGGCATAAGGCTATCCTAACTATAAGATAAGGCCAGGGACTAATGAAAGTATTTAGAACACTGGGCAGACTAGATGGGCCGAATGGTTCTTATTTGCCGTCACAGTCTATGTTTCTATGTAAGATAAATGTAAAAGCAATAAAACCAAATAACAACTAATTCCCAACACGTTTCACCTCAAGGGCTTTATTACGTGAAACAAACAGAGGTCCTGTATAAAACACTATTTATAAGGCCTCACAAATCATAAAACGTGGTCAGTGACATCATCAATGACGTGACCACCATAAGAGTCACATGACTAACATACATAAGTAATAATGGAATAGTGGTTAAAATTCATATTATTTATATAGTGCCAACATATTCTGTAGTGCTTCACAATAGGTATACACTAGACAAACACTAAATTCTAACAAAAAAATATTGACATACTGGAACAGTAGGTGAAGACAGTCCAGCCAAAACACGCGTTACAATCTTGTACACCTGTCTAACAAGCATCTTCCACACATCCCCCAATAGTCCCTATACTAGGCAACCGTGCTATATGTTATACAATTTAGAAGGTTATGATGTAAATCAGGGGTGCCTAAAAGGTAGACCCCCAGATGTTGTAGAACTACAGCACCCATGATGCTTTGCATGTCTTTAGAATGCCTTTAGAATAACAAAGCATCATGGAAGCTGTAGTTTGAAAACATCTGGAGATCTACCTTTTTTACACCCTGAGTGTAAAATAACAAATAGAGCTTGGCTAAAGTTCACCATTGCTGATCAGCAGTCTGCATTCATCCCACCCATACTATAACGTATCTAAAAAAAATTTTGATACTTGAAAAATAAAATAAAATTTTAAAAATTATATGTTGCAATAATAATAAATAAAAAGAAAAAAAAGATGCCCAAAGCTCATGTGAAATTGCTATTTATTTTGGACTCGGTTAATTGCTCTCTGCTGTGTCTGGGTAAGACGTCTGGGAAGTGCATTGCTATTACACCAGACGCTTGCTAGAGGGCAGTACAGGGAGCAGAATGTCCAGCACTCAGCCATTTCCAGTGCATTTCAAGATCAGATTCTGCATATCCCTTCCTGTTTTGAGAAGCCCTGGAACAGTGTATTGTGAAAGACTATTGAGTGACTGACAGAGAGGAAAAGAATTACAGATTTGGTTTCACATTCCTCCATGATTTTACAAGCATTCTGCACCTGATCCCCGCCACATCTCATAAGAAGGGAGAGAACCTTGTCATTTTGGGGGGTTTACCCCCCTTTCTGAAATCACCCTGCTCATGGCTGAGACTAAAATCATCTACCATATAGATGAAGAAGAAACTCCTTATCTGGTGAAACTGCCTGTTCCTCCTGAAAAAGTGACCTTAGCAGATTTCAAAAATGTCCTCAGCAACAGACCTGTGCACAACTACAAATTCTTCTTCAAATCCATGGACCAGGATTTTGGGTAAGTACCTTGTGCTGACAAGCACCCATGGGTACATGTTTCAGTAGCATGCATGCTGCAACACACACTGACATCTGCTTGCAGTGTGTCATGTATGGATTGCTGGTGTGGCTTATGTATTGATACAAAAATACTGAATTCTGCAATGATCAGTCAGTTCTGTCTTTGGAATCTAGAACACCTGTCATTCTCTTTATTCCATTTTAAACATGTTACATCTATCTATCTATCTATCTATCTATCTCTAGTATATCTTATTGCATACAGATACATGTTCAGCATTATAGATTTGTGTCTAGAACAGATCTGTGTGTTAAATATTTCCATTGCAGCATTATTAGTGCAGAAGGCTACAAGACTTCTAGAATGCAAAATTCACAGATGATTCACAGCAATACACAGGGGATGGGGACTTTTAATCCTTACAAGTCATTTCTTCAAAGGGTTGTTGTTTCTTTTTTTCCCTGTCATTTTCTATCAAGAATCATTATTATGTGGGAGGGGGAGATGCACTTCTAAGGAGAAAGGAGCATTTAATAAAATGCCAGCTCTCATCTCCCCTTTGCAAGAATAAACAGTGAAATAGCAAATTGAGGATTAAAAAGGTGTATTTTGGTAGCAGGGGTGGGGAGATGTTGAAAGTTCAATCCCCCCCCCCCCAATGATTTTTTGCCTCCCCCTACAGGTTTATTTTAATGTAAACCCCTGTTAGCAACTCTGGAATATGTGGATATAGGGCAGTGGCCAATTTACCCCCTCACAGATTGTAGACTTATGACTCCCATGATGCTCTGGCAGCCATAGAACAGCTGGAAGTCTACATTTTGGCCACTACTGATAAAAAGAGTCATGTTATAATGCATGCTTACATTTATGTATGTGTGACAGATATCCATGTATTTAGGCAAAGCTGTACGTTAAATACAAATGTAAACTATTTGTCTATATTATATCCATGTATTTAGCTATATCTATATATTATATATCCATGTTTTAGCTATATCTATATATATATATATATATATATATATATATATATATATATATTATATATCTATGTATTTATCTATATCTATATATATGATATATCAGTGTATTTAGCCATATCTATGATTTAGCTATATCTCTATATTACATATATTAGATGTATTTAGCTATCTCTCTACATTACATATCCATGTATCTAACTATATCTATATCTTATACATCCAGGTATTTAGCTATCTCTCTATAAAATAATTTAGCTATATGTCTATATTACATATATTATATATCCATGTATTCAGCTCTCTATATAATGATTTAGCTATATTTCTGTATTACATATATTATACATCCAGGTATTTAGCTATCTCTCTATATAATGATTTAGCTATGTTTATATATTATAACTCCATGTATCTCTGTGTATATAATGATTTAGCTATGTTTATATATTATAACTCCATGTATCTCTGTGTATATAATGATTTAGCTATGTTTATATATATTATAACTCCATGTATCTCTATATATTAGAACTCCATGTATCGCTATATATTAGAACTCCATGTATCTCTATGTATATAATGATTTAGCTATGTTTATATATTCTATATATTATAACTCCATGTATCTCTATATATTAGAACTCCATGTATCGCTATATATTAGAACTCCATGTATCTCTATGTATATAATGATTTAGCTATGTTTATATATTCTATATATTATAACTCCATGTATCTCTATATATTAGAACTCCATGTATGCTATATATTAGAACTCCATGTATCTCTATGTATATAATGATTTAGCTATGTTTATATATATATTAACTCCATGTATCTCTATGTATATAATGATTTAGCTATGTTTATATATTCTATATATTAGAACTCCATGTATCTCTATGTATATAATGATTTAGCTATGTTTATATATTATAACTCCATGTATCTCTATGTATATAATGATTTAGCTATGTTTATATATTCTATATATTAGAACTCCATGTATCTCTGTGTATATTTGATAAATCTGGCCTAGCTCCCGCTGTGTAGTGTGAATGGCCCGCGGGCCGCTCAGTGCCCGGAAGCCAGCTGTGTAATGCCCGCCCGGTGTCAGTCTGGGTCGGGAATGGCTGATAACCCGAGAGGCCGCACTCAGTAAACATGGCGGACAGGAAGCCGATACCGGGGCACTGACAGCGGGCACCGGGCGGACTGACAGCGGGCACCGGGACACTGACAGCGGGCACCGGGCGGACTGACAGCGGGCACCGGGACACTGACAGCGGGCACCGGGCGGACTGACAGCGGGCACCGGGCGGACTGACAGCGGGCACCGGGTGGGCTGACTGATTGACACCCTGACTGACTGCGGGCACCGGTCGGACTGACTGCGGGCACCGGGTAAACTGACTGACTGCGGGCGCTGGTTGACTGGCACTCTGATTGCGGGCACCGGGCGGACTGACTGACTGCGGGCGCTGGTTGACTGGCACTCTGATTGACTGCGGGCACCAGGCGCAGAGTCAACTAACAAAGGGGCACAAGAGGAAGTTCAGACTGGCAGAGGGGCAGCAGGGGCAGGTCAAACTGGCAAAGGGGCACCTGAGACAGACTGGCAAAGGGGCACTGGGGCAGTTATGATTGGCACCAGGGGCAGCTAGACTGGCATAGGGGCTCCAAGGACAGCTAGACTGGCATATGGGCACCAGGGACAGCTAGACTGGCATAAGGGCACACAGGCAGTTCAGATTGGCAGAGGGGCACCAGAGACAGCTCAGACCGTTAGAGGGGCACCAGGTACAGCTAGACTGGCAGAACAACATCAGGAACATGTAGACTGGCAGAGCAGCACCAGGGGCAGCTAGACTGGCAGAGGAGCACCAGGGGTAGATTGCACTGACTGAATAGGACTTTGAGATTGGGTGCCCAGATAACATCAGGTAGCAGTGTTTACATTAAAGGGACACTATATTCACCAGAGCAACTTTAGCTTAAAGGGACACTCCAGGCACCCAGACTACTTCTGCCCATTGGAGTGGTCTGGGTGCCAACTCCCACTACCCTTAACCCTGCAAGTGTAATTTGCAATAATTACTGCAGGGTTAAGTCCTCCTCCAGTGGCTGTCTATGCGTGGCTAGGGCTGAATAAACAGAAACAAAAGTAATTTAACTTTCAAATGGCAGAGAATGAAGCAGTGAGACTGTATGGTAATGATCTATACACCAAAACTGCTTCATTAACCTAAAGTTGTTTTGGTGACTATAGTGTCCCTTTAACTATTGTGGTTTCCAGAAGTAGCCTTACATCTTTAGAAATAATTCACCAATTAGTTGTAATAAGCAGAGGGTATAGTGCTTAGACAATCTGAATACAAATGTAGTCAGCCATATTTAACTAGTCAGTGGGACACTGAAATGTGCTGGTTTATTATTATTTTGGTTTTAACCCCTTAAGGACACATGACATATGTGACATGTCATGATTCCCTTTTATTCCAGAAATTTGGTCCTTAAGGGGTTAATAAGGCCACTTCAGAAATCACTTAACATTTTATTACGGGAAAAAAAATCATGCAAAAAAATATAAAAAAATAATATTGCCCTATGATTGTCCATTGTTTGCTGCAAAACCCCAATATATGCAGAGATTAGCAAGTGGCTTAATTTCCCAGCCAATCTCGGCCCTCTCATTGCTTGTAATGCTGTGCTTATTATATTGTGGTTATGTTATATCACATAAATCACACATATAGGGTATGTCATTAACTTACATGAGAATATAAAATAAATAAAATTACTCACAAATGAATAGCAGCTGAATGATGGTTTCTATTAAAAGGACACTGCAGAGGTCAGTACACGAGTACAAATTGTAGCTTTACATTGAATTACTGTACAAAAAAATTGCCACACATAAAGCTCCAATTTTATTTATCTTATTTTTTAATGGCTTTCACCGGTAACAAATAAGGGTTCACAACGGTATAGAGGTGCAGTGTGAGCAAAACCTTGCACCTCTGGCATAAGGTGCTTAATCATGAGTATTAGGCTTTAATAATTGAATTAATGAAAAGCTGTGACAATGCTTGCAGAAGTCATTTAGGTGATGTATCATATGCCTATTACAGGTGTGTACAGGATCATGCATGGGCAGAGGGGGTTAGGTATTATATTTCCCCTGTAATGTCATTGGAATGGGCTTAGGTATATAGCTGCAATCATTTTAGCAGATTTTTAGTGCAGTAATATTGGATAGGATGAAAACAATTGGTAATACTAATGATCTCAGTCTAGTCCAGGGGTAGGCAACCTGCGGCACTAGTGCCATGCACGGCACTCAAAGTGTCTTTGCATGGCACTCAAGGCTGCTAGAGCCAGACAGGCTCTGGCCCATCAGGAGTACCAGGTAAACTTCAGATACCTGCTAATACGAAGAGGTGGTGAAGGACAATCCTCAATTTATGCATTGCAGAACATAGAGTAAGTGATTTCAGATTTGTGAATGGGAATCCACACTGTAGTAGAGCAGCCTGCAGCAGCTGTTGCAGCTCCTGTCCTGTACCTGGCTAGCCTGGTCCTCACTGGAACCCAGGGAAGCCACCCACACTGCTAGATATACACAGAAATGCAGAATAACCCTCCCCTCATACAAATAATACGAACAGCCCACACACAAACACAAAACACAATCCGCACAAACGTAACCCGCTAACAATCCACATACATGCACACAACCCCACATGAAGCCTCTTACATACAATACCCCAAACAGCCCCCACACATGCACACACTACCAAACACACAATGTGACAAATCCATCCACACACAATTCCACAAACAGCCCCCATACACAGCCCACATTCATATGTATCATACACAATACCATAAACTACTTGTAAACATATACAATATAATAGCTCATATACGCACAAATACAACAATACAAAGCAATTACAGTAGAAATAACACAAGCAGAATACGGCAGCATACACACCTCAATTTAAAAAAACAGGACTGGCACGCTACGGGACATCACAATCCTATATCAGCACAGTGCTGCTAAAAGGTTGCCTACCCCTGGTCTAGTCCAACTGGGGACCTGCAGAGCATGCATGGCAATTGCCAATCTCTGCTAATCTGATACATCTCATGGAGAGGCATTGAATTTAATGATTTAAGTTGCAATCACAGATATGTTTACTATACGTTTGTTAGTAATAATAATTATTTGGAAATTAGCCTGTTTTAAAAAAGAGAAAACATGGAACCATTTAGGAAGAGGATGTTGTGGTTTAAGTAATTTATCTACATCTAAACCACTTTGTAAAAGAAGGAGGGCCAGATTTTTCATTAATCAGAGTAGGCAGTTTTGTATAGGTACCTGTCTGTAAGGGTTCCCTCTGAAAAAGTGCCCCTAACGCACAAATTGTATAAGCATTCCTGTCAGAGGCCTCTGTTCTTGCTTATCTGTTCCCCCTCTGTTAACATAGCCAAATGGTAATTTTTTAAACATATTTTAATAAAGGTATTATTTTATCTTACCCTTCTGGGACCAGCAGCAGTGTTTACTATCTGGATTTGTAAGTGTTCGCTATCCTGACACTTCAAACATGTGACATAATTTTACCTATATATCAACATTCACATATGATTATGCAACATTCTACCCTGTAATGTTTCTCAAATTTAATTAGACTTCTCGATTTCAGATAATTGTAATTTGGGAGAGGGATAATGTCGAGCTAGGCTGGGTGGAGCTTTTTTTCACACCACTACAGGGTGACTATGCGTTGACCTTCATTCTGTCTCCATAAACCTTTACTATTTTGTGGTGTAAACAAAGCCACAGCCTAAACTATCCACCCTCTCATTCCCCTTTCTCCTCTATACCGTTCCAGTTTTAACCCCCAATAATAAGGCTTTTGAACGCCCCTAAATAATATATTCTGCACATTTCATGGGCCTCTGCCCCACCTCCTGTTTATCATACTCCTCCTTGGGACCATCTCGACACACCATAATACATTACGCATAACTATATACTACAGTCCCACAATACTCATTTCAATGTTCTTTCATATATATATATATACTGTATTCTATCGGTATTTTCAATGCCTTGTTGTTTGTTAAAGTAGTCGAGATAAATTACCCATTTACTTATAGCGAAAATACTCACTGACCACGATTGTGGGTTACCTTTAAACTGAACAATTGCTTGGACCGCTTTTTACGCTATTCTCTTTTTTTTATACTGTACCCTTCTCTTACCTTTGCACAATGTTTATTTTGAATGTATGCACAAAAATGTGCTGTCACACAGCTCTGATAAATAAAGATTTTTTTTTTTTTAAAAAGCCACATTAGCATAAGCCTTGTGTGATGAGGATCTCTTGCTATTATATAAGGTTTGCGTAGGTGGATGCCGTGTTCCAAAACACCTGTGTTGTATTGGTGTTCGGAACTTGATCTGCTCTTCCTTTATTTAATTATTTGTGGTTCACCCCTGACCATGAACTTCACCCTGTGCAGAAGATACCTTTCAATTTAAATATTATATTTTTTGTTATGGTGAGAAATCCAAGTCCAAAGCACACAAATGTTAATGTTTACGTGTGAGTCCTCAGTGTTCCCAATGTATTTCTCTGGTCCAAGTTTTTCGCTTTTTATTTGAATTTTAATTTAATCGACTTATCCAGGTAAGAATTCTGGGAAAATTTGTCTTGACAAAGGAAGTGGAGCTTGTTTCTTTTTTTTTTTTTTTAATACTTTATTTTTGAAAAAAGCATTTGACAGTTACATGATATCAAATAATGATTTCCAGTAGTGTGTTAGAGCAGTCGATTAATACAGTAGTTGTACATAGCGTGGTTATTCAGACATACTTAGCTCGGCATTTTGGTTTGTCAAGGTACTTCCATTTTTATATATATACAACATAGTACATGAAAAATCAACTTTGGTTTTGGGTAGTTATCCCATTAATCATTCGATAATAGAAATAGTTTCAGAAGGAGTGGAAGAATGAAAGTAAAGCATATGGTACAAAGAGGTCAAAGGAGGTTCATCACGGCAGGGGGTGTTGGTGCCTCTGGACCGAGTTTGTCTAGACTCGTATCTAGAGGTGGGCCCCTCTGGAGTAGGCCAGTTGGGGGTGGGGATTGTGTTAGACGTGTCCGGTCTGCCATGTTATCTCAGGCTAGGTCGCTAGTGATCCATGGTTCCCACATTTTCTCAAATGTGGAGCTACTTTTACTGTTCTTTGTCCAATGATGGAAAAATGCATAAGGCAAATTACTTCTACTTTGACATCCATTGTTCTGAAAAATAAATTATTGAGTGAGTGAGATAAATACAATTTAGACTGAGCTGGCATAACCCACCACACGATGTGCTCAGGTATATGGACACATCAACAGTCAAGGGCCTGTTCCCTTTTAATTTAATAAATAAAGCACTTAGATCTCGTGATAACATCATCATCCACAATACCCTTAAGACATCTTTTATGAAAGCGACTCTGTCATCATCCAGGATCTTTGCATATTTTGTAAAAAGATCCCTAATGGTGACTGCTCTGCTTGGTGTCCGGTGGCCTTAGGGTGCAGGGAAAGGTGAGCTTTACCTAAACCCGACCCTCTTGGCTGCCACCATCTTCATCCGGATTGTCCTCTTCAGCTCCTAGTGCTTCATCTGCCAGGAGCCCATGTAACTCTTGTCCTATAGCGCAAGTACGAGAAGTCTATAGGATCCTCTATAGACAATGCCGGCTGGGACAATTGGCAAAACCTGATGATAGCTCTGCCTTTTGTCAAATTGTAACTCCACTTTTTGTCAAGCGTAGTTGTCCCTACTTTGTCAGTAAAATTCCAACACAGGCAAAGTGAGTGTTTCATCTTTATGGAAATACTTGTTTTGGAGGGGAGGGGTTGGTAGAGCTGTTTTAAGAAACTCGTTTGTTAACTGTACCTATGGTACGGTTAAAAACAAAAACAAAAAATGACGTCAATGGCAGAAAAGAGAGTTAAGGGCCGGTGAATGTGACACTTTACCTCCTTAGTTCTTTTCCAATTGAGCAATAATATGGAAATTTTGTAGAGGCTCAGATCCCAGGTTATGTCTTACTTTGTGGGGAGATATAATGCGAGTTCACCTGTAACTTAGGGCCTACTATTTACTTCTGGGCTCTGGAGCTTTGCACCAGCAGTACTTCTGTAAAAAATGAATTAATTGATTGCAAATATCCACAGCATGCTTTGGAACTGCAGCTCTGCCCACTCAGATAACAATTTCCTCCAAAATATTATAACTTAAGGGACATTTTAAGCACCAACACCACTACATCTTAATGTGGTGATTTTAGTGTTCAGACCGTATCTCAGCAGTCTAACACATTCTAAACACTGCAGTTTGTTTACACTTGTCAGTCAGTATGCCTTTAATGGCTGTCAATCAGGTAGCCACCAGAGACACTTCCTAACCAAGACTTTCAATAATTGAAAGTCTTCACATTCTGCATCATCACACCCAGCATGTTAACACACAAAGCTAGGAATATTTCTGATATAGGCACAAGCAAAGTAGGCCCCAATGCATTTCTATGAAAATCAGTGGTTTGGCCTGAGATCGTCATCTGTGTTTGATAATGGTGGCGGAGGTGCTTACGGGACGGCACTGGATTAAATGTGAGATTTACTTTTTAGATTCCTAAAGATAGGCCCAATAATCTAACATTTAAAAGGAACATTGTTACATTATGACTAAATGTATACAGTCAAAATGGCAGCGTGTTCCTTTAAAGAAACCATCTGTAAACATGTTCCTATTCGCATAGTGCCATGTTGTATTTCTCTCTATATCAAATTTTTTTTAAAGTGTGTATGTGCACTAAATTGTATTCCATATGTGCATGCAAATCTGTGCTTGTGTGTATGCAAGAAAATAGTGTAGCATTTAATTCCTTTTAATTAAAAAAGTTTTTAAACATTTTTACAGTTTTGCCCACTCAGCAAGTAATGTATTGAAAGATTAATTGTGGATATTTGCCTCTGCCAAAGCCAGAGAGGTTTAAACCTTAAATAAAATAAATTTTGACCACTACATTTGCTAGCACTTTCCCCTTCTACGATGCTTAGATCAAATGTTTTTTCTCTTTAAACTGCATTCATATCATGTTTGCTTGAAAGCTACAGTGCAGTTGTTGACTTTTTAGTAGAATTAAAGGAACACTATGAAAACTGTATTCCTAACACTAACCTTCCCTCCTCCCCCCTCCTCCCACGGCTGTCAAAGTTTTTTTTTTACTTACCTTGCCGAGGTCCCTCCGAAATATGGGAACCTAATGTGCATATGCGACAAGTTCCATATGCACTTTAGGACTTCTCCATAGGAAGGCATTGAATCAATAGAGGCAGTCTTAAAGGACCACTATAGTGCCAGGAAAACATACTCGTTTTCCTGGCACTATAGTGCCCTGAGGGTGCCCCCACCCTCAGGGACCCCCTCCCGTCGGGTTAAACTTACCTCTTTCTCCATCTCCGGACGGGGAGCTCTCCTCCTCCTCTCCTCCCTCTTCTCCTCCTCTTCGGCTGAATGCGCATGAGCGGCAGGAGCCGTGCGCGCATTCAGCCAGGCCATAGGAAAGCATTCACAATGCTTTCCTATGGACGCACGCAAGCGCCTCTAGCGGCTGTCAAGAGACAGCCACTGGAGGCTGGATGAACCCATTTATAAACATAGCAGTTTCTCTGAAACTGCTATATTTATAAAAAAAAGAGTTAACCCTAGCTTGACCTGGCACCCAGACTACTTCATTAAGCTAAAGTGGTCTGGGTGCCTATAGTGGTCCTTTAGCCCTGCAATGAAAACATTGCAGTTTCTCTAATCCTGCAGGATGTAGGATTTCTCTAATCCTGCAGGATGTAGGATTACAGGCAGTAATGGACACTGCATCCTGACTAGTTCAATGAGATGAAGTGGTCTGGGTGTCTTTAGCGTCCCTTTAATCAGGAAGAAAGCATGAGCTTTCTGATGTATTTCTCATTTGCAGATAATCAATAATAGCCACACAAATGTTTTACATCCGCCATTCTCCAATAACTAGTTATTCAATCAGCTGCTGACAAGGGCATAGGCATGGCAATAAAAGGACATTTGCAAAATGAATTTTGAAGTAATTTCATTTCAGCACAAATAGATCTCGAGGGACATGGAATATTTCACCATTAACAGATGTCGGCAGCGAGTTCCCAGTTCTCGTATGAAATCAAAAAAGCTGCGCGGGGCATATGTATTCAAAGCACAGAATACCATCATTTTGAATAGCAAATAACCTTCATGTTCCCTAACTCAATGATTGCAACTACAAATATTCTTTTACATAACCATCAGATAGAGTGACACATGCATGAACACACACAGCAGAGTTATGAAAAAAAAGCTACAGTAAAGTATTATTATTATTATTGCCATTTATATAGTGCCAACCGATTCCGTAGCGCTTTACAATATCATGAGAGGGGAATTTAACTACAAATAGGACAATTACAAAAAAAAAAACAATAGGTTGAAGAGGACCCTGCTCAATTGAGTTTACATTCTATAGGAGGTGGGGTGTAAAACACATTAGGACAGGAATTTGCAGTCAAGTAAGGTGGGCTGCCCTTTAGGACAGAGCAAGAGACAGGTATGTGATGTAGAGGTTAGTCTTGGAGGTCATAAGCTTTCCTAAAGAGATGGGTTTTAAGATACTTCTTAAAAGATGCAATACTAGAGGAGAGTCTGATGGCGGTAGGCAGGCTATTCCATAGGAAGGGAGCCGCCTGCGAGAAGTCCTGCAAGCGTAAGTTGGCCGTATGGGTGCGGGCAACGGACAGGAGGTGGTCATGGGCAGAGCGGAGAGACCAAGAAGGGACATACCTATGGATCTGTGAGGAGATATAGGAGGGGCT